ATCCACATAGAAGCAGACAAAACCATCTTCCGGGATGGTCAGAATAACCGATCTTTTGCGATCGGCGTCCACACTCGGAGCAAGGAACTGGTTAATCAACTTCGGGCTCGATCTCGACCCGCCAGCTTCCGAGTATGTGTCCTTCTTTGGAACTTCTAGGTCGCCCAGCCTGGAGAAGTCTTCCTAAGAAGACGAATCCACACCGTCGAAAAAGGAGTGAAGGGGATTGTCCGCACCATGGAACCCCTCATTGGACTTCTCCTTTCTTATTTGGGCCTTCTCGAGCATGGACTCAGTGTAAGAGGGTGTCTACGAAATCTCTATTACACTGGGCGCTTCCTCCGGTGTCTTGGGGAGTCCCACCCCGGGACTCCACATCGATCTCTTGAGACTGAAGGGGGGTCGACCTCACGAGTCTCCCCCTTGATGCCTCCTATTCCCCGGGAAAGGTCGTCTCGTGGGTAACAAAAATAAGCTCATCCTTCGGCTCCTCCCTAAGCAGGAGGAGAGAGTTGGAATCCGGCACCTGGGAGCTAGAGCTCCTCCTGGTCTTGCGGGCCACCCTCTTCTTTGTTTTTTTACCTCGGCGCCCGGGAGCCCGAAGTTTTTCTCTTCATTTTCTTTTTTTCCTCCGTGGCAGCCCCGGGCTTCCCCGCAATGGAGGGATCAACGGACGGAGACACGTCCTCGTCCCTTTCCAAAGGCCTAAGTTCGGTGGTCTTAGGCAAGCCTGCAATAACAAAGAGGAAGAGAAGTTAGTGTAATAAAAGATAGAAACACGGTATTAACTACTCAGAAAGAAGCCTTACCATGAGAACATGCCTCCCATCGACCCTTCAAAATCCCGTGCCACGCGTGCTCGGAATACGTCATCTGAGTACATATACCTTCAAACCATTCTTTTAGCCGGGGAACCGCATTCGGAACCCGGGCGACAGCTGCACGACCACAAGTATGAATGAGAAGGGTGAAACTCAAGAATTATTTTTTGACATTTAAAGAGAGATTGTACTTACGAGATGCATTCCACTTCTCAAGGAATGACATATATTCGGGGAGGATCAAATCCTCGATCTTCACTCGAACGAAGCATCCTTGTCAGCCCCGGTCTCGATCTTCGTCGATACTCGAAAATGGGGCCTTGCTGGCCCGACGAGTAAGCTTGATCAGTCCCCCTCGGAACATTCGGGGACTGTATAATTGAAGTAGGTGGTCAGTCATGAACCGACGGGACTCGGTCTTGTTCACGAAGTAGAGGAGGAGGATCACGATCCTCCATAACGATGGATGGATTTGCCCGAGGCATACCTCGTACCTCTTGTAAAAGTCTAGAACGACCGGATCCACCGAGCCCAATGTGAATGGGTAAGTATAAACACTTAAGTACCCCTCCACGTGGGTAGCAATGACGTCCTCATGCCTGGGGACTACTACGTCCTGGCCCTCCCAATTACAGTCCTTTCAAACTATAGGAAGAACATCTTCAGTCACAGAGCATATATACCTTGATACTTCTTCACCCCGGTCCTGTTTGCGTGAGGGTTTCTCGGCTTTAAAGTCGTCTGCAATTGAGAAGCCCTCGGGAATGAACACTTTCAAGGGAGGCTCGGGGGCCGGTTCGTTAGCAGCCACTTCTAGAGAAGCCGTCTAGAGGGAAACTACTTTAGAAGCAACCGCCTCAGTGTCGGCGGCCGATTGGGAAGATGAAAATGCAACTTGTTGAGGAACATATTTGGATGTTTTAACCATCGTTGCCTGAGGAGATTTGCAAATTTGAAGAAAGAATACGAAGTTTTGGAAAAATCAGTTTTGAAGATGAAGAATAGAGTATGAAGATTTGAAGAAAATCTGGGTAAAAACTTGAAAATCACTTTGAAAATTGAAGAACAAGGATCAAGATATGAAGGCTTGGATGAAGTTTGATGATAGCCGTAAATCCCGAAGGTAATAGCTTGGTCAAAAAGTAAAAAAAGAACAAAGGATTGAGGCTTTTATAGGAAAACAGGTGACGCTTCGCATTTGGGGGCAACCAGCCGATGAGCGACACGTGTCCGAAGTCAGAACGCGGCTCCCTCGTCGTAACGTACGAAGGAAGGAACCGGAGAACATATGTCGTTTTCACTACTAGAAATTCGGCAAAAACCGACGAAGGTCGGCCGACCAACTTTGGTCGGTCAAAAAACCAGCCAAAAAACCGACCAAAGTTGGTCAGTTTTTTAAAATATTTTATTTTTTAATTTTTTTTTACGAAACCGACCAACTTTGGTTGATTTTCTTTGGCGAAAAAATGCGGGAAACTATTTTTGAGTCCGCCAAAATTTATTTTTCAAGAAACCGACCAACTTTGATCGGTTTTTCAATTAAAATAAATAAAAATTAATATTAAAAAAACCGACCAAAATTGGTCGGTTAATTCGACCGGTCATTTTAAAAAACCGACCAACTTTGATCGGTTTTTCAATTAAAATAAATAAAAATTAATATTAAAAAAACCGACCAAAATTGGTCGGTTAATTCGACCGGTCATTTTAAAAAACCGACCAACTTTGGTCGGTTATTTTCGGGCGAAAATACAATTAAAAAGTATAAATCAAATAAAAGAAAGTCTTAAAACAAAATGCACCAATAGTCTAGTGGTAGACTAGTATCCTGTCACAGTACATACGGTAATTTCCGACCAACTTTGGTCGGTATACCTTTCCGACCTCTAAAATACCATCCAGACGTAAATGGTCGCATTTTGGACGGTTATTGGCCATTACCGACCAAAGTTGGTCGATTTTTACCGGATTTCTAGTAGTGTTTCCATCGTTTCGGCAAGCTTACTCTCTAAGAAACGATGAGACTATCTATATACGGGTAAAATCAAGCCCAGTGAGCACCCCGATTTTTTGGGGAGGCAAACAGAGCAGGAACGCAAATGTAAAGAATCAGAATCAGAGCGAGGAGTCTCTCGTATCACGGCTTGAGCAAAACACCTACCCTCGGAGCCATCGGGACCATGTCCTCTGGGTCCGGTTCAAGTCCCAAGAGTTCGTAGAGCATTACCAAATAACCGCACATGACTAACAAAGGGCCGTGATGTCCGTGCCCAACCGGATATCACAGCGTAAATCTCCGCCCGTATTAGCAGAAAATCAGTGATTAGCGAAAATGAGGATTTTTATCTTTTTAGAATTGTACCTAGGGTAAAACTCTCCTACTATATAAATGGGAAGCTTATTATTCATTAGACACACTGTAACACGCATACCAAGGCAATATACTTATGTTCTCTCTGTTTCTAAAAGTTATTCAAAGTTCTTGTTTTTGTTCATAAGTTCCTCATAAGTGCAAGCTCGGAACTGAAGGCAGGTTCCTCGTTAAGCCATTAACCGAGCTCAGACTCACTATTATCATTGGTTTGGTCATTTATTACGTCTTTTATTTGCTTAATTTAACGTCATTGATTACTTGTATTGAATTAATCCACATATCCTTAAAACCGCGTATAAATTCAATTGTTATCTGTTTTCAACGGTAAACAACCAAGTTTGTTTCATTCAGGTATTGTAATAGTATTATAGTTTGTTCATCAGGTATTCTAACTAGTTTGTGCTTTATTTTCATTTGGAAGTTAAGTTTTCCATTAAAGTTGGTTGTTTTTCTTTGAATTTCTTCTTCGTTTATCTTTTAGCTTCCGAATTTGCATCACTTACAATATCTTAATATTAAATTTCATATCATTTGCTCCAATTAATATTATTCAAAACATCATCAGATTTACTAATATTATTATTAATCTTTAATACTTATTATTTTTTTCGAAAATTGAAAAATGAATTCGTGGGGGGTGAGTTTCTGATAGCGTGATCATCTTTGAATTATTAAAAAACTTGCTGGAAAGGTTTTGGAAGACTTCATCAAACAAAAAAGGGCTAAGGGGCAAATATACCCCTGTGCTTTCGAAAATGGTCTAAAAATACCCATCGTTATACTAATGGGCTATATATACCCTTCCCGTCATACTTTGGAACAAATATACCCTTATTTTGGATGGAGTACCACGTGTCAGCACCAGATGAAAACGACCCATTTCTTTTTTACCCGATTCATTTTAAAAAACCCACCACCCGACCCATTTTAAAATTCAGTTTCTTTAAAGCATATATTTTGTAAAAACTGAAATTTATTTTTGTAAAAACTGAAAAAAAAAAGAATTTGCAAAATATATACTTTTAAGTCTTTTCAGTTTTTTTAAAGTATTTTTTTTGTAAAAACTGAAAAAAAAAAATATTTTTTTTAAAAATACTTTAAAAACTGAAAAATATATATTCTATAAAAAATGAAAGAAGGAATTTACAAAATATATATTTTTAAGTTTTTTTCGTTTTTTAAAGTATTTTTTTTGTAAAAACTGAAAAAAAAAATATTTTTTAAAAAAACTAGAAAAAAAAAACTCTCCTAAAGCAATGGGCTGCATATGCATTAGTTTTTAAAAAATAAAAATATTTTGCAAAATCTCTTTTTTTTTTCTTCAATTTTTACAAAAAAAATACTTTAAAAAACTGAAAAAACTAAAAAATATATATTTTATAAATTTCTTTTTTTGCCCCGAGTTTTACAGAATGTATATTTTTTAGTTTTTAAAGTATTTGTTAAAAAAATATTTTTTTTCAGTTTTTACAAAACAAATACTTTAAAAAAACTGAAAAGATTTAAAAAAATATATTTTGCAAATTCCTTTTTATTTTATTTTTTTCAGTTTTTACAAAATATATGCTTTAAAAAAATTGAATTTTAAAACGGGTCGGGTGATGAGTTTTTTAAAACTGATCGGGTAAAAAAAAAAGGGTCATTTTCATCTGGTGCTGACACGTGACACTCCATCCAAAATAAGAGTATATTTGTTCCAAAGTATAACAGGAAGGGTATATATAATCCAATAGTATAACGAAGGGTATTCTTAGACCATTTTCAAAAGTACATGGGTATATTTGGCCCTTTGCCGAACAAAAAAATGGATGGAACTATGTATTCTTTATTCATTAATTTGACCTTAATTAGCCTGCAGGCTGATTTTTTTGAAGGGAAAAAAAAATACACGTACTATTACAGACTGACTCAATCTTCTCAATGTCCTGACAGACTTCATTTCAATCCACATTACGACTTGCGTCGACTAATTCAATGCAAATTCCAAAAACCATTACCAAAATACGATTTTATTTTCTTTTGAAGAAGAGGATTTAGCTTTGTTCCTAATCCTATTTGGATTGCAACTTCAAGCTCAACAATGTGAGTCAAGAAACTAAAAAAAGGATCAAAGTGCTAACATTCCTTTCGTTTTGAAATTTTGTAGTGGGAAAAAGAAAGAAAAAACCTAGGAGAGAAAATTTTACTTAGATTTTAGTTTTAGCCTTTGTTCTGTTGTTTAACAGAGGAAGCAACAGTATGTGCCCACCATTTGAGACTATGTTTAATGTCAATTTCATTGCTGGTAGCGGGTACTTTCCAATTCATCAATGAATTCATTCTCTTCCTCTTTTCAAGAACTTCCCATGCTTCAGAAAGATAAGGCCTGATTGCTCTTGAGTACTGATGAGATTTCTCAACAAAATTCACCTTTTCTTGATCATCATTACTCCTATTTTTGCTCAGTTTCTGTAAACCTGGAATAATCTCAACCAAACTGGAATTTACATCATCTTCTGAGAAATCAAATCCAAGATCCATAAACCCTTTTAGCTCCTCATATTCTAGCTCGGATAAGCTCTTGCTAAGACCCTTTTTGGTTCTTCTTTTCCTCTCTTTTCGTCTACCCTTTATCTTTTTTGGTTCTGCTTTTTTAGGATCTGGTTGAAAATGGGTTATTGGGAGAACTGAATCTGGAGAGAAAGTGTCTGAATTGTAGCTCAAACCATCACTTTGTGACCCAAGTTGGATTTCTTCTAGCAGGGATGAATCTTTTGCAATTTCTGGTGAATTTTCTTGAATTTTGTTATATGAGTTTTCCTGTGGATTTGATGAAGTGATTGAATTTGAATGTTTATTGAGGGTTTGGAGATTGAACCAGCACGAATCGAAGAGGCTAAGAACAGCCTCGAGGTCCATTAATGGTTGGCTGAAGGAAACTTGAAAAGCAGAGGTTTTTGTGGAAGGTGTTCAGACACGAGGATTATATATATTAGATCCTGTTCAGCAAATTGCCCTTCTTAGTTGTTTATATTACGAAAATACTTCTACGTTGATTGTTTCACACGTTTTCTAGTGTGAGCTATTATTTCATTTGGAAAATGTTGTTGTACTTATCAAAGTCTTCCTACCAAGACTGTTGATTATCTTAATTAATGACTAAAGCACGTAAGACGTCTAGGTTTACTTATACTTCTGTCCTCTAATACTTCATTCAAAGAGGAGTTTCTGGAATTCTTTTCTAATCGTGTGCAAACTGTTTTTTAATTTAGTTTTTACAAGAACAAAGAAAAAACTTTTCTTTCACGTTATTTTGGTTGGAAAAAAATACCTTTTGCAATTATTATTATTGTTATTATTTTTATTTTTTTGCAAAACCTCTTGGTCAAATTAATTTTTAAGCAAACACCACCTTAATGACCTAAAACAATTTTATCTATCTTAATTCAGACTCCAAAATTACCTTAATTGTGTTTTCACTTGCATGCATGCACACATATGCCAAGTCTTTTTGGCTGCAAGTCTAGTTAAATTTGTGCCTAAAATAGATAGAAGTTTTGACAAAAAAAGGATAATTTATCAATTAATTCATTCCCTATGACATGGTTGTATCCTATTAAGGTATTTGACTGGCAAAACCATTTCTTAATTGAGGAAAAAGTAAGATAATGGAATATGGAGGTTGATGCATGATGTAGCCTTTGAAAAGAAAATGAATGATTACGTGTGGTATAAACATATGATTTGTTGTCAGTCGCTAGATGCCTTTTTTTTAAAGAAGATTGTGAGGATGCTAAATTGTTAAAAACATGGATAAATCATGTTCTGAAATGACACCATAAAATTTAAATGAAATGATGACGTTTTCTTGCTATTTTACAACTCAGTAACCATCATTGCCTCAATCCAACTAGAAGGAGAGATCAAGCTTCACTCTTTATTTCAAGCTAAGATTATATTCTTTACTTCCAATCAAGAATCAATCATGGAGTACCATTGATTATATTCTTAATCACTCCCCTCTTCAGATAAGTTTGGCATAATGGCACATCTTTTTGGCTAAAAAAACTCTCAAGCGGTCCAACTCTAATAAATTATGTATCTATATAACGCCTAGAACTTTTGATGGATGCCTACCCTAAGGACCTAGAGGGTTAGATATATATATCTCGGATAATCTATGTACTAGATTGGCTACTTTAGGCAATGAAAATGCCCTACGTGGTATAGGTACGTAATATTGCCCATCGTGGCAGTAGTATCGTTTGTAATACTTAATTTTTAATGGTATATAATAAATCCTACCTTATTAAAAAAAAAAGAAGATCTAATCTATAGGAAATTGATGTTATATAAGTGACTTAGATATAGGTACCTGTTTACTCACTAATACTAATAGTACCCTAAAGTTTACCCCCTTTATTAATGATAGAAGTGGTTTCTTTTCTCACTTTCACTCGTTATAAACAGTCCAAACTGCCTGTATGAAGAGTAATTAGTATAGTAATTCACTACACCTGGTACACGAACTAGTACGCGGATCTTTGAACTTGGAAGAATTTTGTTCAAGGGAAGTCAACTACCAGAAATCTCACGTGCCAGACCACGAAATGCACGTGCCTACTATATAATTTAGCCACCTAAAAAAGAGTTTAAAAACATGATTTTGTGTTTCCACTCACTTAATGGCATTCGTATTACCAGCTACTTCCGGTCATTATCATTGTAACCTAAAAATATTTTTTTAAGTAAATAAATTGTATCGAGTTTCAGTTTACTTAGAGTGTTTTTAATTCATTATTTATTCTTATATTTGACTTGATCTTCTTTTTCTAATGACCACAGCCTCCTCATGTTCATAAAATAATTAAACGGAACTGATACGTGGCGCTTGAAGTGCTTTCTTCTTTCTTAAATAATGTTTTGAGCTACTCTCGGACATATAAACAAACTAGTTTCTCGTAACGTTCCACATTGGTTCCTTATCATTATTATAAAATATCGATAAATTTTAAAAAAATATTAAGTTATCAAATAGGGAATGTTACAACTAATAAAAAATATCAATTTTAGCATTTAAATTTTATTCATTAAATACATAACAGTGGAGTGGTGTATTTTCATTTAGCAAGAAGTGTTTGAAGCTAATTAAGATAATATAACATCTAATGGTACAAATATGTTGATGAATTCCTGCTCTAAATTTAATAAACGCATGTAAATAGCCTTAACAAAAATAGAAAAAACATGGAAAAATACATATTTCAACAAAACCTCCAAACAAAGCATAATGACTATACATTTATCTTCTCCCCAAATGTTCAAAAGTAGGATTGTTCGTTCAAATTTATAAATACTTTCTCAGAAGTAGAAATAAAAATAAAATTATAATAAAATCTAACTTGCACTCACTAATTAAATATTTCTCTTTACTCAGCCAAGTACTCAAAATTACACACAAAACAAAAATTTGAATCTCGTAGTCTCAAAAGAAATAAATAAAAGAAAACATAGAATGAGACTAAAGTTATAACACCACAATGACAAAAAAAACATATTTATGCACTAAAAACCTCTAAATACTATAATTTAAATGGATTGACAACTAAATAGTTAATTATGACACAATAAAAGAATTATGTATACAAACACAATCAGAATTTATATATTTCAAACGCTAAGCAATAATAGAAAAGACATATGAGTAAACAGAAGACAAATGAACAAAAATAACAAAGAGAATACATGAAGAGTTCATCTGGCAACATAATATTTGCCTTGGCCTCGACAATAATGCTAGGGCTCTAAACTCGGTAGAAAATACAGAGCATATACAACAATATATGAATAAGGCCTTTTGAATTTTCATTGCCCAACACCTAGATAATCAAGATGATAACTCACTTGTCATTGACAGTAAATAGCCAATAATGTTATTGTAAATCAATGAAAAAAATATTATTTTCACATGACACAAGCAAAAAGTACACTCAAGGATAATGTAAAAATCTCAAAAGTCACGATAATGAAAGGTTAATTAGCTATTTTTCTTCATTTCCGTTACAAGTGAAACAAACACGGCACATTAGAGAGGCTTAAATTTCAGAATAACTATTTAATTAGTAACTTTTAAGTATGTAATTATTGCTAGAAGTTCTAGCACGCACCTCCAAATGCCAAGCAAAATGTAGAAACATACATATATAAAATTAAATAGTAGTAACTCTTTATTGTCTTGCTAATTGTAACTTACAATTGAATAGTAGTCCATACAAGAGTCTATGACGTATATTTACATATTTGTATAATAATAACAAATTGAATATGTGTAATAAAAGGGTAAAATAGTCGATCAATGTTTGAAAGAGATTTTAATAAAATAACTTCTAGTGAAAGTGTTCACACGTATAATATAGTATGATATGATACGAGGATAGAATAGAGAAATATAAAGAGGGGAAGGGCCTGACGAAGTTAATTAACTAATGAGAAAAATTGATTGATTGACACACATTAACTAGTGATGACGACTATCTCTTTATTTTCAAAACAAAAAAAAAAACATTTTGCTTTTCCCCCCTTTCCATCCGCTCGACAATACAATACTATGATTTTGTTTTCTACTTGCCATTCTTAGTCAAGGTCTACTTTCCTCACGTATATCTTTTGTGCGGGACAAATCGATCCGTTTTGCCTTTAGGATCAATTTCTTATGTGCGTGAGGTCACTTCCTTTTACTAACTCGTTACAAGCCCAACAAATAGTATTTCAATATAAAGAGAAGAAAAAGACTTTCCACAACTAATGAGGGACACTTTGTCTTTCACAAAAGACAAAGAAGTAAAGAAGGAACATGAGGCAAGGGATTTCATTGTCTAATACTTGCAAAAACCTAAAATTGATTTTCTCTCTCAAGTGCTAGCCACCATCTCTCTCATGAGCAAAACAGCTGCAACCTCAAGGAGTAGATCCAAAGATTGAAGATATCTTAAGTCCTTAGGTTTGTTGAGTCTTTGTTATTTGTTCTTCATTTGTAATCCTACACTACTTTCAAGAAGTGTCTTTGTAGGACAGATTTAAACAACTGTTTGATTTAGTTTCTTGACTAGAGTTAGTCAAGATTTGTTGCTTTGTAATAGAGTTATTACAAAGAGGCTTGTAATATAATTATTGCAAGTAGGTGAGGGATTAAGAGTTTAATTCTTAGGTTACAATAGGTTGTAATGTTAAGTTGCTCGGTTAGTAAAGTTGAAATCCTACAGTGTAGGTAGTGGGTTTTAATCCCGTGAGTTAGGAGTTTTTCATGTAAAATATTGTTGTGTTATTTACTTACCGTTGTGTGTGTGTGTTCCGTGGGAACTGATAGAGTACCAGGTTCTCTATATAGTTTGGTGGACACTAAGTTTCCATTAATTGGTATCAGAGAAAGTTCTTTCAAAAAGGTAAACTCCTAGGAAAGATCTACATGGATGCTCCACCAAACTTCGAGAAAGGACAATCAACGTACTTACCACCAAGATTCAAAGGCCAATACTATGGTTGGTGGAAAACAAGAATGCATGACTTCATCATGACTGAGGACTCAGATTTGTGGGATGTAATATGTGATGGACCTTTTGTTCCCATGAAAATTGTTGGTGAGGGAACAGTTACAGTCCCAAAAACAATAAAAGAGTACAACGATGCTGATAGAAAGGTTATTGAGAAGAATTTTAGGGCAAAGAAGATTCTTGTTTGTAGCATCCGACCAGATGAATGCAACTACATCTCAGCTTGTTAGTCTGCTAAGGAGATCTGGGAAGCTCTTCAAACTGCCCCTGAGGGAACTACTCAGGTTAAGCAGTCCAAAATTGATATGCTTACTACTGAGTATGAGCTTTTCAAAATGAAGGAGGATGAGTCTATTCAAGATATGCACACAAGTTTCACCTCCATTATCAATGAG